GTTTAGGGTTAGGTTTAGGGTTAGGTTAAGGGTTAGGTTTAGGGTTAGGTTTAGCATTAGGTTTAGGGGGGTTAGGTTTAGGGGTTAATTTTAGGTTTAGGGTTTACAGCGTGCTTCTGTCTCGGCACTGTTGTCGCCCTGTTGATGTCGTCAGCTACGCGGTTTAGTCGGACGCGGTTTAGTCGAGCGCGGTTTTGTGGTGGAACCCTTTCCCCTATGCCAGGGGTGTCCAAACTTGGGAACTTTAAGACTTGTGGACTTCAACTCCCAGAATTCCCCAGCTAGCCTGACTGAGGAATTCTGGGAGTTGAAGTCCACAAGTCTTAAAGTTCCCAAGTTTGGACACCCCCGCCCTATGCTGTTCATGAGTCTTCTCCATCCCATTTCAGCATTCCACTGCGATGAAACAGAATAAAAAGAATAAACCACACGCAACAGCAATGTATTTAAACATCCATTTTGATATATTTCTAACATACTTTCTCTCAAAGTACATACTGTAAATCTCAACAAATTTTATCTTAAAAACATGGGGCCTTTTCATTAAAAACTGCATAAAAGAATAGCAAAGTGTGAAAACCAAAAAAGTAACTGCTCACTCATCCACTCCTAGACCAGGAATCAAAGTTTCATATTAAAATTTGCAAGGAGCCAGTTTTTCCTCCCTGAAAGAGCCAAGAGCCGCCATGTCTGGAGCTCTTCAGGTCAGGGTCCAGGTCAGGGTCCAAAGGGAGGAGCGGGGTTGTGCCATCCCTCTTGACTCTGGCAGCAGAAAAGCCTCCTCCTCGGGACCACACCCAGCCTCGCTCCAGCTGTTGCGGGAGGTTTCCCTGTGAGATTGGGATCCCAAGGGCCGAAGCAGGACTTGCCTTTCAGGACGAGGGACACTCCCAGCTCGCCCTCTTTGGAACTGCAGTGTGGCTGGAAGGCACCCAAATCTCGCTTGCCTCGAGCCGGACCACAAGTCCCAGGCTGGGCATCGCTTCTTTTGGAGAGCAGCTGAGCCCAGGTACACAGCAACAGCTCTCAGCCTCCAGGGAGAGAGGGCAAGCCTGACCCCTCCAAGGGGCTGCCAGTGCTCCTTCCTCTGCTGGGCGCATCCCCCTCCCAGAAAGTGGTGGCTTCTGAGCCTTTGCCCTGGACCTCTGCAGAAAGACCAAGGTTGAAGGAAGCCCCCAGCAATGCCAGGATCCAAATCTGCCCCGGTTCCAGGGCAGTAAATCACCGCACCAACAGGATCTAGTGGAAACTACTTAAAATGCAACTTCCCTGCAGGCCCAACATCTTATATTAAAACAGACTGTGATTCAACACACACATGTTGCTTTTGTGCTGATAAATAAATAAAGAGAGACTAGCATGGATCTATTTCAAGCTATTTAGCTGTCATCAGCTAGCCATACCCTTACTGGGATTTGAACCTGGGCTGTTTTTACACATTAGGCAGTTATATTAACTTCTAAGCCACAAGTTCTCCTCCCTTATCAGCTGAGCCAAGGAAATGATTAAGTGTTATATCAATGATTAAGTGTTATTTGGACATACCAGGTGCTTTGACATAACGCTTTATATGCCGCATTTTTTGGAGTATAAGATGCACCAAGATTTTGAAGAAGCAAATTTTTTAAAAAGTTTTTGCACACTGCAAACCTCCCAAAAATGGGCCTCTTTTTTTAAGGACATGAATAGCCCTTAAGAGACTTATAGAGTGTTCCTGGGGGATGGGTGGCCCAAAAACTAGCAAAAAAACGGCCTGTTTTTTTGTGAAAATGGGTGCGTTTTTGTAAAAAAAAAAAAGGGCATTAGGAAGTTTATAGAGTACTCCGAGAGGCTGGGGGGGGGGGCAAAATTGAGCAAAAAAAATGGCCCGTTTTTTGCCCTCCCCAGCCCCCAGGAGCTCTCTGAAAGCCTTCTAAAGACTATGCATGGCCATTTTGGTGAAGGGGGCAGGGTTTCTGGAGGCAGAAAATGCTGTATTCAGTGTATAAGACACACCCTCCCATATTTGGGCATACCAGGGGTTGTGACACAATATAAATCGTAGATTTTCACGGGTATAGGTAAGCTGGTCTTGTTGTATTCGGGTCTTTTCCCATGTAAGATCTTATACGGGAAAAGACCCGAATACAACAAGACCAGCATTTTCGTAGATTTTCACTGGTACAGGTATGCAGGTTTTGGTGTATTTGGGTCTTTTCCCGTGTAAGATTGAGAGTATCTTGGCGACGTTTCGACGAGATCCCACTCGTCATCCTCAGGCTGGTGTCTTTGGCCTCGTGCCTGAGCGAACACAGTAATAGGCAGCTATTGTTATCTTCAGTTAAATACTCTTGTGCATAATTATACTAAGTGACATTGCATAAACAGGCTTGTAGAACACAGTGCATAACTCTTCTGGGGTGTGGGTATGTGGGTGTGAGGGGAGGGGGTTGGTGTTCCTATTGGCTGAACAGTGAATGCAAAGACCACCCTCACCCCAGTCAAAAGGCTTGTTCATTTGCACTAACCCCAAGCAATCCCATTCAAGGTGGGGAGGAGGCAGGGGGCTGCCCAGGTTGGGGAATCAGAGGAGCTGTGGCTGGTTTTGGAATCGGGATAATTTTCAGAGAGGCTGCTTGGAGGCGCCTCTTTGTCCTTGTCCTTTGTCCCTCAGGCGTCCCTGTTTTGCTGGCGATGGGAGCCCATCAGCCGCCACCATCTCCCCTTCCACTCCCACAGCCTGCCCGATGCTTTGGGGGTGTTGACAGCTGCTCTTCTCTGTGAGGGCCAGGTGGGGCTTCTGCTGGCCAAGGGCCTTGTCTCCCATGGCCACCCTCTCATTGGGGATGCAGCTGGTTTGGACTGGGTAACCAATGGGCTGACTTCGCCCATCACCACCTCTCTTTCCCTGCACTATTTTGGAAACAATTCAGACTGTTTTAAAGGAGAATTATTTCCATCTTTGGTTCAGAAAAATGTATTTATTTTTAGAAAACTCACGATATCTTGGCCCTTTTGAGGACAAACGGGAAGTAGCAATGGCATGATAGGCTCCCTTGTGAGGAGCAGGATGTTTGCCTTTTCTTCTTTGTTTTAAGATTCGATTTCTATTAAGTCTTAAATTTTCTACTGGCAGATGTCCACTTTTTGTGTCTTAAATGGGGGCTTTGTT